TTTTTTTTTTTTTTTGCATTGAGCGTGGGAGAGTTGAGAAGCGAATTGAGAAGGCACAATATGCATTAGCAGCGAGAAAATAAAGCGAGAAATAAAAAGATGCAACAGATAGCTCGATGTTTCATTTCGTTTTTTCTTACCTGGTGCAAAGCGCCGCAGCAATCCACGCAACGACGCAAAGAAACGTCGCTTTCGCTTTCGTGCACATGTACCTATGGAGAAATACTTTCTTTCAATAATCTTCTTTGTAAGGATGTCAGAAAATGACCAATGTCTTTAGTTTTATTTTCTTTATACAGTATATGATGTAATATATGTTTGTATATTATATTTTATATTATATTTTATAAGAATTATAATAATTATTATTGCAGAATTATAATAATTATTACAACAATTATTATAACAAAATTTGAAACACTTGAATGATATTACTATTTTAATAAAATTAACAGAAAATTCGAAATATTCAAGTAAATTTGGATCTATTGCACTTCATATTAGAAATGAATTATATTAATTGTAAGAATTATACCCGTGAAATTACACCATAATAATTTAAATAACAGAACATGAATTCGTTCGTGTAAACGAGCTCCTATTGTGACAAACGAAATCGTGACTGACATTTAGACATTCAGCTAGTGAAACACGGATCTAATATCAATTACCAGTGTAGCAATGACGAGACACGTAATAATGGCACGCAATACTGCCGCTGGGAAATGAATTATACAGATAGAGAAATTGAAAGAAAAAAAAGTGCACGTCGAAGTCGTGATTGACATGGCGGATCGACGATATGTCACAAAACGAGTTTAAAGGGACGAACGATTGCAACAGACATGTTTCACCAAAAGATAGAGAACGACGGAGACTTGGTTCTTCTTTTTTTATTTATTTATTTTTTTCTTTTTTTTTTTTTAACAGAGCTGTCGCTTTGATTCGTTGATAGAGTTTCGAGAAACTGAACGTTCAGTTATCGTTCTGTCGATTGAATTCTACAACGTTTGTTTCAGAAAGCAAGTGATATCGGTATCGCCAAAAAAAAAAAAAAAAGAAAAAAAGAAAGAAATTTGGAGAGAATCGCGCGAAACTCGTTACTGTTACATATTTCTGTATCTTTCGTGTATATATATATATATATATATATATATATCTCATTGAACGCGTGACGCGTATAAAGATTTTTTACGGATACAATTCAAGAAACTTGACTCGAGTTGTCAGTAGAAAAATATTGGAAAGGCGGAGTCCTTTGTCAATCAAGTTTTACTCGTCGATCTTGATAATTTCAACTTTGAATATAGACACAGTCTTAGAATTCTTTGGATCTTTGTCGCTCAATTGTAAATATTTTAAAGTAATACTTTGAAAGCACTTGCCCGACTCGTAGCGGCTCGCAAATCGCATAGTACCGCTCGAAGCTGATTGCCAAGATTGTTAGAACCGAAGCGTGTGCCACAGTCAGTTCGACGAATGGTACTACTTTACCTGAAATTGAAACAAATTTACTATTATTATATTATAATACTATCACTATTATGTATATATGTATAAGATACGATGATCAATATTTTTGAATATTTTTCAAAAGACACTAAAACAAAAATAGTTTTATTACTTATTAATATTAATTAATAATATGTATAATATGTTATATTCTATAATATTATTATTAATTTTACATGAATATTAACATAATATTAATATATTAATATATATATATAATATGTAATTTATTATAATATTATATTACAGTACTTTAAAAGATAAAAAAAATAATAGTACAAATAAAATACTAAACGAAAAGTAATTAATTTTTATTAGTTTTTAAGTGATCATATTATGAATCTGGTAATTACAAATCTATTGAGAGACTGGTCTGGTTGCTGATTGACATATTCTACTGATCGACCGACCAGTTAATTACAGAAATAATTAATTAGTTCTTGATACTTAAAATACTCAAGTATGCTCTTATATATATTTTACATGTTAACACAGACTGGTGATATTCTACCGATTGATTGACTAACTGATTATAGAAACCATCTAATCAACACTTGATATCTTAAAATACTCGAGGCCATACGTATATTAATACAGATTAGTGGTTGAGTTATTCTACTGACTGACTGATTAGTTGATTATAGAAACGATCTTATTTGCTCTTGATATTTATTTAAAATACTTGAGTCTGTATGTTCCACACATTAACACAATTTTCCACGTAAATAAGTGTTTCTTATTCTGAAACGGTCACGATCATGTGATTTTATTTGCTCTTGATATTTAAAATGCTTGAACTCATATATTCCACACATTAGTACAATTTTCTATCTAAATAAATGATTCTTATTGTGAATACGATTGAATAGGGATAGGATCAATACGAAAGAATCTGTTCGCTTGCGCGTTGATTATTTCAGGAATTTAATTCGCCAGTCGAAGAACGCGTGTTCCGGTTTGTTGCCAATATAATCGTAAACTCTTGTTCACACGTGAATAAGTTCCGGGTATTTTTAATATCTCAGCTTGTATAAAATTAAACAGTCAGTGAATGGCTCGTGTTTATTCTTTTAGAGATATTATTATTTCTCTCCAGAGTTTTCCCTTGTTGTTAGAGTTATTATTATTATTACTATCATCAGAATATAATTCAATGAATTTTGTCATGGAGCGGGCTAACTACGCTGAAGCAAGATACTTTTCATTTAAAAACAAAAAAAAAGAAAAGAAAAATTATCTCTAAAAGCACATGCTGGACAAAATTTGTAACCAGCAAAAGGCAAAGCAAAGTTTTACTTGAAACATTCATTTCAATAATAATTTTAATTGAAACATTCAATTGCGTGGGACGTTTCAAATGGAACACTTTGTACACTACGTTCAGATTCATACAGCTCCTCAATTTATTACTATTTACCTTCGAATTGTATCTTCCTATATTTCTCAATGGGTTATGCGAAAGCAATTTCATCTTTTCTCGTCGAATTTCTTTACAGGGTTTTCAACAAGGCGCTGCAATCGTAGCGGAATTTTCCCGCGGAAATAGGGAATGGAACAGAAAAGGAGGAAACGTATATTCGAAAATTCCTCGAGTTCCTTCGCTCTTTTTTTGCACGTGCGAGTACAGTCAATCTCGAACGTGGACAGAACGATAATAACGCGCCGTGCGTTTCTCATTCGCGCAACAGGAAACGTTCCTAGGGGACGATTGGACGATTTTCGGCCAAACGAAGCAACAAAACTTGCTTGCAGCTTCCGATGCTTGAGAAATTTATCAACGTGTCACACGTGAGAACAGACGAAATTGAACAATACTACTGTTGCTCCCTTTGTTTCATTTGTTTCAGTTTTGTTCATGCTTCAAAATTTCATGCTTCCATGTTGAGAAATATTATATTTTCTTATACTTTTATATTTATTTTTTTTTACTATATTTTTTAACAGAATTATAGAATATAGCTATAAAAAATATAATTTGAAAACAAATATAATGTATTGTTAAATTAATATATTATTAATCTAGAAGTATATTATAACTTCATTCTTTCATTTGATTTCGTTGTTGAACGTTATATTAATTTTTTTCTTTTTTATAAGATCTATATTTTTGTAAAATATAATTTAGATCGAATATATAATTACATAGAATATAATTTAAATAGCGTTTCTTTCCTTCAGTTTCACTTATGCTCTGAATTGCATTCTTCTGTTTAGCTTTATTGTTGAATATCATTTTAATCCATAATGGTGTCACTATTCTCTTCTTCTTTTCTTTTTTTTTTTTTTTGTACGATTAGGAATAGAGAAGAGCGAAGGAAAGATTTCAATAATAGCAAACAAATAGATATTTATATTAATTTATTAATAAAGTTTTAAACATGCAATCTTTTTAGATTTATGTGATATGAGATATGAGAAAATGGCATTAGACACATAATGAAATTGATACTTACTGAGAAAAATGAATTAAATCTATTAAATGAAAATTAATTTCCATAATATTTAAAATAAAAATACATAAAGTAATTGAAACTAGATATTGAGATTCTATGAATTATAGAGTAAGTAAATTCTAAATTGGAAGCATTCTGAATTCTGTGATAGATTTCTAAACTGAAAGTACGTACTTTGTATCTTAAATATGAAATTGAAAGCACTGTGAATTATAGATTCTAAATTAAAAGCATTTTGAATTTTAAATTTTAAATCGAAAGCATTCTAAACTGCGAGCATTTTGAATTTTAAATAATAGTAACTGGAAGCATTTTGAAATCTAGATTCTCCGCATTTTTCTGCAAGATTCTTTCTAGATTCTAAATTGAAAACATTCGGAATTCTGGATACTAAATTGAAAATATAATGAAATTATAAATTTTAAATCGAAGTTCCTGAAGATATGAGCCTCTTGATCGATAAGTAAATTGAGTTTTTTTTTTCTTAATATTGTATTTAATAATATTTATTTTATTATTAATGCATTTATTAAAGTACAGACTACTAATTTTGAGAGAACAAAACAGAATTTTATCTTTATTGCAAAGAAATAAAATAAAATAAAATAAAATTCTTATTTTTAAGAAACATTGAAAAAGAATACTCATTTCCCTTCGAATATTTCTCTCTTAGAAAATACTCTTTTGAAGAAAAAAAAAAA